GTTTTTCTGTGTTTGTGTACAGGTAGAGGCCTTGCGACGAGCTGATCACCCGCCCAGGGAGTCCTACCGAACGTGTAAGATATAAAAAAACCGAAGTGAACGGAGAAGTTCATGGAGGTAGGCCTAGGCTCACTGGTGCTATAGTGCCAAGGGGAAAAAAAAGTGGCGCTGGGTCAAGTTTTCTCCGAATACTTCGGTTTCCCCTGCCAATCTTCATTCCACCAAATTCTCCATCATCATATCACCCAGGGCAGGCTACAATAGGACAATCAGTGGCCGCCGTGCCGAGTGGACCCAGTAGGACTCCACCCACCACTAAGAGAATTAAAGAAACAAAAGAGAGAGAGATTATAACCAAGGTGCTAATGAGCCCAATCATCCGAACTAGAACCCGTCATTTTCGTCACGTGTGCCAGTACTATTTGGTTTCCCGTTAAATACCGCCCTAGAAGTCATACAGATTTTGACAACACGTTTTTCGGCATATTGTAACATGAACGCACAGGTAACCTCTGGAGGACACGTGCTGGCGGGTCTCCAACTGGACCAAGGCAACGCAATACAGACGTTCTTTTAGAAGGCAATGAAGCCATGATGGAGTTCAACTGGCATTCAAAATGTATAGTGTTTAAGTTCTCTATGGCCTATGTTGTCTATGTTGCGAGTTCAGTAACAGGGCCTTGGCCGCGCCATAGCTGAAGCGGTAAGTCGCTGGCTTCCCACCGCGGAGGCCCGGGTTCGAACCCGGCTCTAGTCAAGTGGGATTTGTGGTGGACAAAGTGGCGCTAGGGCAGGTTCTCTCCGAGTACTTCGGTTTCCCTTGCCAATCTTCATTCCACCAATTGCTCCACAATCACCCTCACCTATCATCTGGGGCTGGTATAATAGGCTAGAAGTGGCCGCAGTACAAGGGACTTAGTCCCACCCCACTAGCAATAAAAAAAACAGGGCCTCATATACAAGCTTAACACAACATGTTACTAATGCACTCTAACATATTACATGAAAAGAGCAGTACAAAATGAACACTCTCAAACCTCAGAATATAAACAACTACTCCACGACCACATATCGTATGCAGAATAGAGGACAGGATAGTAATTTTAAGAATTTCTGCTAAATTATTTGATAATTTACAACTCAAAATACACGGTAAATGCAATAACAAATATAAATTATATTTGTGATGAAATGAAGATAAGAATAAACACCGGAAAATGTATTCTACTGTTCAGTCCAAAATATTTTCCATTCTCGTCGTCCTGGAAAATAGAAAATTAAATTATATTTCCTGTTGCGATATGAGAGTTTGTAATTGGGTATTTCGATCTTGAAGGAGGAACACGAACTTAACAGCATGAAAACAATATGAGAATATATGAGTGAGGTAGCAGAATATTCCATGACGTGGATCTCCTCTATTTGTACTCCTCGCCTCGCAATCAAATTAATAACACATGGATGGGAGGCATAAACAGTACCCATGCGGGCAAAGTGGCACACGAAATTACACTTGAAAAAAACATGGGAAGATACTGATTTGGATATACTGCAGTAGATGTAAGGACTATGATAAAATTCAGCTTACAGCAAATAGGTCTCGACCGTGTAAGTGGATAGACGTCAGAATAGCAGTTTAGTAGATAAAAGCTCTTGTGATGACGCTGATGAACTTCAAGTTTTCATAACAATAGGGAATCTTACGATCAGCTAATTACATGAAGCCGGTCACCGTAGCCGAACGGTCTAAGGCATGTACTGTCTTCGCTCGCTTGGAAACCGGGATCGCGGGTTCGAATCTCACTCAGGGCATGGATGTTTAGTTTGTGTGTGTGCGTTTTTCTGTGTTTGTGTACAGGTAGAAGCCTTGCGACGAGCTGATCACCCGCCCAAGGAGTCCTACCGAATGTGTAAGATCCAGAAAAACCGAAGTGAACGGATAAATTCATGGAGGTAGGCCTAGGCCCACTGGGGCTGTAGCGCCAAGAAAAAAAAATTATATGAATGGAAATCCTGTACCACTCAATCCATTAATTTCAGACGCAATTCTCTAAAGAAACAGAAGTTTTTAAAGCGTTGAAATTTTCTTTTATAAAAGACGCTTAATTTGAAATTATGGCAAACCTTGATTAGATGGGTCGAATTTTATACCAATATATTCGATGTTTTTGTTGTTGTGAGGTTACCGGAACCTTACATGATTGTATTCGAGCGTGAAAACTTAACTCTGGTATAAATCATTTGCATACCTGAGCAGTTCCTTCATCCACAGAACAAAGGAATTAAAAACAAGTAAAATTAAAAGTGATGGTCACGGTAGCCGAGCGGTCTAATGCATGTACTGTCTTCGCTCGCTCGGAAGCCGGGATCGTGGGTTCGAATCCCACACAAGGCGTGGATGATTGGTATGTGTATGTATTCTTTCTGTGTTTGTGTTGTTCTGTGTTCAGGTAGAGGCCTTGCGACGAGCTGATCACTCGCCCAAGGAGTCCTACCGAATGTGTAAGATCTAGAAAAACCGAAGTGAACGGAGTTCATGGAGGTAGGCCTAGGCCCACTGGGGCTGTAGTGCCAAGGAAAAAAGATATTCGTACTTTATTTTTCTGGGGGATGAGTGAAATTTAATGCGAATTTTGGTGCTCTAGCTCTATGAACCACCACTTACTGATCTTACCCTACAAATCAACCATTATTGACTATGCAGAAGTCTTCTTCAGCTACCAAAGATGGCTCCCAGGCCTGTTCGAATCCAGAGTCTGTTGTCAAACAATTCGTAGGACTTCTTGAATTTGAGGTCGGCTCTTCGAGCGGAATTCGAACCTGCAACCCCGGTAGTGGGATAGTTCAAGGCCAGGAGTGTCTAGAGAATCTTTTGTACTATTAATTTAACGACCAGTAGTTAAGACCCCTCTTTACTTCGACATGGAATACATGTTTACATGACATTAGTATTGTACTGATATTAATGCATGTAAGTGGATTGATTGAACGACTAACGGTGACAGTGCCAGGTGCTGCGTATCTCAGTGTCCGTCACTAAACGTAATTGATGAGAATTTCAAATTGATTAATTAGCGAGATATCATTTATCATCGTTGATAAAGTTGCTCAGCATCAACGATGTGGTAAAAAAATGAGTAAAAATTATTATGCATAACTGACTGTATATGTGAATGCTGCGAGTCTTGCAAAGATTTTTTAAAACATGAACTGAAGGTACGGTGTCTGTGAAACACGAGACAGATGTGAGGGTCCACAACGAGCAGCTTATACCAGCACCGCTTAAACAATGTGCGAAATTAATTCTTAATCATTTCCGTGTCCTAGGTATATTTCCAGTTTACACGCTTTGCATAAAGAAGACACGGTGGGGGATGTTAGGAGGGATATCTGGAAAGTAAAGATACAAATCCAGTAAAAATGCAAGGGATTTTTTCTTCTTCAGAAATGGCAGTGCTGCCGTATGAGCTAGGAACAGTATGACAGGTCTGAGTTCACCGACCAGAGTCACGGCAACGGTGTGCTCGCAGCGTGTGTTTAAAGTGGTCGTGTCGATTCAAAATCCAGGCAAATGTGAGGTTCGTCAAGTAATTCGATTTATTCATGCGAAAGGAGAAACTGCTGCTGAAATTCATCGCCAACTTGTTTCTGTTTACCGTGAAGATGTTATGAACAGGTAAAACGTGGTAAAATGGTGTCGTGAATTTGAAGAGGGAAGAAATGATGTTCATGATGAAATTAGGATTGGAAGGCCATCCGTTGTCACTGATGAAATCATTCAAAAAATTGATGAAAACACTTGTGCTGACAGACGTCTAACCATCGATGAACTACATCAGCAATGTCCAGAAGTGTCAAGAAATGTTCTCCATGTCTAAGAGAGCAGGCGGGAGATTTCTACAACGCTGGAATAAAGAATCTCGTTCTCAGGATCATTAAGTGCATTGCGAACCGTGATGACTGTTGAGAAGTAAATGAAGGTGTGTTGTAAAAGTGCTACAAGTGAATCTGTACAAAAAAAATGCTTTACAATATTTTTCTGGACTTTGTATCCTTACTTTCCGGATATCATATATACACGTGTGTATATATATATATATATTAGCAAAGGTAGCGCTGTAGAACTAGAAGTGCGTAAAGCGGCGCAAACTTGTTAGTGCACTTGACGTTTCAAGAAATTAGTGGATAATATATAAAAATTTTACTCGCATCGCACCAGCATATTTCGAATCCCAAATTAATTTAATCGGTTCGAAAATTGCGAAAGATACCATATACAGCGCAGCTGTTCCAACTGAAGAGACATATTGGCAGCTATAATGCGGTTTTTGGCCATGGGCGGTTCGTACACCTGTCTGAAATCATTTTTCAAAGTTTCGATATAAGCATTCGGATAGATTATTCCAGAAAACGACAACCTTCGTTAATTCTTCCCAAGCGTCGTATTTGGTTTGTTTATTGTAACATATGAGATGTGTTGTATGCAAGAGCACATGCTTAGCTTTGCACAGTCCTATGTATGTTAGTTGATGTGCTATAGTTTTTTAATTCCACTGAAAATTACAATATGCCAGAAAAATAGAGTGGGAAAATAATCTGGACACGGTGGAAAACAGTTTTCAACTGGCGAACGGGTTCAGAAACACGTACACACCTGTTCTAGCGGTATAATGTAACATACTTTGATGCTCGCTGAAAAACTGACAGTAGCGTAGAAGGACCACGTACGATATATTACGCTATTACGTTAAGGCAGAATGAGCAAGTGTGTATCAGGATTTATAAAAAATGATAAAAGAGCAAGACGAGACAATGAATCGTAATACGAAACATGTTGACAACATTTACAAACGATTTAGACAAAATCGGATACCATGAAATGTAGATCCTCACAATAGATCGCGTGTGATAGAAGGAAGAACTCTATGGAAAAGCAAGTTGGAAAGTAAAACGTGGAGACATTCGTAAAACGAAAAAGTAGCGTGTACTTGAATACTCACTGCCAAGTGAAACTCCCCGTTATGCCTTCTCTGAGCCGATCCTTGAGAGAGCGCTGCCTGGAAGGTCCAGCACCCGTGAACGTAGCCATGGTAAAGATCACTCAGCTTCTTTCTCGGATACGGATATCATACATCAAAATGAAGAAAGAGGATCGGCGCCTGAAGTAACGGCGGCGTCTTTTTCACTCTAGGACATCTCTCATCCTCCACTAGTCACCATTTTATTCCCTCGTTCCTCCCTTCTCACCGAAAGCTTATATACTTTTCACTTCACACACGAACACAAACCCGAGTATATCACAGGAAGTTCAGCAATTCTCGAAGAAAACTTGATATTTTCACAACTTTCACAGCGCTCGCTTTGTAATTTATTCTCTGTTCCTTTTTGTATTTTACCGGTAGATATAAAATCCGCAGGTTCTTACTCTTGCAAGATTTGACACAAAATAGATATATCTAATAGTTTAGAAGCGATTGTTCACAGATATCCAAGCGCTTCACACATTCCCACATAATCTCAGATATCTGTAGGTCTTGTAGCATGTAGATAATGCAACCATTTTCACACAGCCTTTAAATGTATCGCTAATAAGAAACTGACGTATGTGTTTGTTTCTTTCAATCAGTCATATAATGGTCAATAACACATTCTCGATCTGAAGCGGAACTACTAAAACGGAAACAGGTGAGCTTTCTTAACCGTTTCTCGGTCGTTACAGAATAAGATATCATAACTTTCAGAAATGTGTACACCAATGAGTGACACAATGGGCAATTCGAAATATAATAATTAAGTTTCCAGAATACTGTGGCCTCAGAAATCACAAGAACATAACTTTCCTTTCCAAGAAACGTAATACACTCATCTGAGTCCCAGAATACAGGCTCGTTAGAACTCCCTGTAACATAGGATTTCTTCTTCCCTCAACAGATGTGTATTTCTTCCTACGCGTAGATGTCTGGTCATTTCCTCTTCCGCTGACCTGTATGCAGTAATTGACTTGAAGGAACTGTGTCCAAACATGTATCAGAACTGGTCATCCAGGATGCATAGATTGTAAGGAAGGTCTTACAAAATAAAACAAAAATATATTTTTCTTTTATGCACCAGTTACATATGCTTCCTTGCTATTAAATGTCAATAAGCTCCACATTTGCTACATTGCGTCCAGGATCAGTCAGAGCAGACCCGGGCAAAGAGGAAGACAACAAAAATTACTAAGACTCAGCTGCAGTAACTCTTGTTCCACCCGGGCCAAATTCGAAATACAGTCGAAGTGGTTTCTGTGACATTCTTCCGTGTCAAACCTGCGTGTAAGTCATCTGTGCTATCTGAAAAACACAAAAAGAAAATTATTTTACTGATTGCCATATTGGGTAGTATTTATTGTTCATCTACATAATCCGGGAAAACAGCCCAACACTCCAGCTACAAGAGACACTGAAATAAATACTAAAGAAATAAGATAAGCTAAGGGATGGATATAGGGCGTTGGGGTCTAAATCTGTTTATCATAAGAATGTGGGCTTCTGGACTGTAACACCATGTAATTCGGAGAGAGCCCAACGTTTCGGAGTTACTCCGAAACATACGCCTCCACATTTTCTACTGGTTTCTTCCTTGGCTTATTCTTCGACCCTGAATTTGTTACTCCGAAACGTTGGGTTCTCTCCGAATTACATGGCGTTACAGTCCAGAAGCCCACATTCTTATAATAAATTGATTTAGAACCCAACGCCTCCTATTCAACCCACACAGATACCGCCCACATAGACAATCCCCCAGACACACACTCAACGTTTCACATCGTCAACATGTTCGTAATTGTTAACCTAAAACAAATGATTCATATAGGAGAGCAATGCATAGGTAAGCGTGTCATACACACATATAGTACAATGCTCCAATGATTCACGTATCATAAATACATACACACATACATACATACATACTACACATAAATACAAATTTCGCACTGCAAGCGCATTGCTGATTTCTATTAAAGAAAAGTGCTGTCTGGCCGAATAAGGCCCACAGGCAGTCTTTGTCATATCTTTGTATTTCGGGGCGGGCTCCACACAAGGATATGACAATGACAACATAGCCGGAATATCTTAGTCATTATAAAGTCTGGGCTACGGTCTGGATGGTCGAAAAAACGGACATCGACTCCCAGCAGGATCAAAGATTTTTCTCTTCTCTACAACACCCAGACCGGCTCTGAAACCCACCCAACCTCCTATTCGAAGAGCATCGGAGGCTCTTTCTCTGAAGGTAAAGCAGCCGAGACGTGATGCTAACTACGAGTATTCACCTCCACCTAATGCCGAAGTTAAGAATGCGTGGAGATACACCTCCACGTATTCATTCCTCTTCATACTGTGGAACACGGGAACTACTTTACATTTACTTCACCTTACAACAGCCTGTCTTTCGTCATAAAATGGGAAGCTAGTTCAAAGTGATTTTCGATACGTCAAAGACGGGGAGAGGTCCACTTTTTATTTGCTCCCGACTAAGTAAATTTGTTTCTTAGATGTACATTAGTTTCTCTTGACCGTGATACTGAAGTAACTTCTCCGCCTTATGGAAGTCGTTACGACTGTCAGATTTCAGAACACGGTTCACTCACCTACACGAACCTGCCGTTCAGGTTTACAGACTTCAATATACCGTAAATAAATTAAATAAACTGCTGTAAACACAAAAGACTATCGACTATGTCTCGTGTACTTGACATCTCTGTGCAAGAAATTAATTTTCCAAACCATGAGGCCTGACATCGTTTGATATTTCTGTGTACGACATGATACTGTTAAAACTTGCTTTTCTCCTTCGCTTAGTTGAAGTGATTGATAATATGGTCAGGGACAGATAGGTAAAAAGAATTAGATAAAAAGGACTAGTACCATTAAAGTTCTTGCCCTTCAAAGTTACACGACCAGTCTAATTTTTATTGCACTTTTTTGGTAGCTGGATTCATTTGCCAAGGCCTTAGCTATTAAAAGGTTACACGCGCTGAGGTTACGACAAAAAGAATTGGTGGCCTCTCACAGCGCACCTCCAGGATGCAGCCACGGTGTATCTTTGCTCTCACAGTTCTGCCTCTTTCTTTAATTTGGACCTACAAATGTTAAAGAAAGAAAACAGTGCAGGCATATTTCAATTTATACAAATTAAATATGTATATATTCGTATGCTTTAACAGTTAATTTTAATTCTTCTGAATTATTTGGATTTATATCTAACTCAAAAACTACTGTATTATGATAAGTTTCATATTGTGTGCTGAGCGAGCGTCCGTCTGCAGCGGTCCTCACCGTATGCTTTAATCTTAATTCTAGCGAAATTTATGCCAACAGTGACCCACTATTTAGGCTCTATCTTACGGGCAATTGGAAGCTAAGGGGCCAGTCTATCTTCGAGTTGAGGTTTTTTACGTAAACGACTCCCGCTCGTGGATCTATACTTTCGCTATATGAGGACGCGTTCGGTGACCAAGCAATCGAGAAGTCACTAGCCCAGTACCGAATGATGGAAGAGCTACGAACCGCATCGCTAGCCTTGCTCAATGACAATAAAAAACTCCGCAGAAATATCCAGTAAGCGTAACGGTAATTATTCACCAGCAGACATCCGCTTGGGACACATGAAGTCCCTAAGTCATGGGTGCAAGTCATAACGTAACTCTGTTGGTAGCGGCGTAATTGGGACTTTCGGGGTTTAGCTGCGTCGTGTGTTGGGTTGTGCCAAAGTTTCGGTGTACAATGCAGTCCCCACCTTCAGGGTGAATGAGGCAGTAGGAGGACGCGGTCCGATATATACTGTATATGAGAAATAAAAAAACCGGGAAAGCTATCCCTGTAACAGGCCGTGAAGACCCATAAGGTTGTGAGACGTTGAGGGTCCCACATTTTCCTTAGACAATCGGTTCCCAGACGGCGGTAAGGATTTCAGCCTTACGCGCCGGCCGCCCTTTACCCCCCAAGAAGATTCCTGGTACTCATTTCTGTTAGAGGTTGAGTCGACCCCAGGGGCATCGTGCCGCTGGAAGGATTAGGTATATTGAAAAAGTCCACCTCATCGGGATTTGAACCTGCGACCTTCCGGCTTGTAACATAGTGCCCCCATATATATATATATATATGTGTGTGTGTGTGTGTGTGTGTGTGTGTGTGTGTGCGCGCGCGCGCGCGTATATATGAGTTCCAACATAATTACGAACGACGTGTGGGGCACTGTGCCATCAAATGGAAAGGGGCACTGTGGTCAAAGAGAAATTTTAGAGGAAAGAAGTTAAGACGAGGCTTTACTCAGTTCGCACCCGTTCTTACGGTTGAAGTGTGGGGTTGTTCGTTACTTCAATTTCCTCTCTGATTATAAGTGACGATATTTTCTTTGGCTTACATTTTGATAGATTCGATGCCATGATTGTCTGATCGTACATGTTCGGTGGTTTGTTACGTCTAACTTACAGCTGATGTTATAAAATGAAGCTCCCTGAGGTTGAAAAATCTTACTAAGCAAGACGGACACACACAACAGAAGTAGGGCTACACGCAGAAACACAGTATCGCATCTATAGTCTATCTTCAAAGATTGTCAGAACATCCAAATATATTACTATTAATCGACAAGATGCAAAATTTTTATAACGTTTCTGGTAAACCAATAAAATTAATCAGAAGGGAAGTTGCAGCTACTCCTGGAATTTTCGAATAGTTTACCAGCGATATCGTGACATTTATCGTCGTTTTACTTAAGTTTCTCCAGACAAATGCCAGGACAGTACCTCGATCAATCAGCGACCGCTTCCTTCAAAATCGTTTCTAATTCGTCAGTCAACGCATCATTCAATGCTATACAGTTTCGAAACGACAAAAGTCTTTAAATGCCCTGCTCTAAAAGGAAATTCAGATGGTCACAGTTCCCGCACTTTACGGAAATCGAAGGTTAACTACAGTGTTTACAAGAATCATCAATATTACTCTATCCTAAGCCAGTTGAATCTACTCTCCTCCTTTACATCTTATTTATTTAGTCTCATTCTAATATGAGCATTATCTTCCTCCAAAAGTACAGTCTCCAAAGTGATACTTTCCTTTCAACTTGTTCAAATAATACTTGGCAAACATTTCTAATCCCCCTATGCACCCTAGTGGGGTATGTCACACCCGTCCCATTTTCCATGATGCAGTCACCCGAACTGTGCAACGGCGAAGAGCGCACTGTGATGCTCATTATATGATGTTTTCCAGCCAACCCTCCCCACCTCTTTCTTAGGTCAAAGTATGGGGTGTCCGGATGAAAGGTATCAAAAAAAAAATATATATATATCTCGGAAAGTAACTGTGTCATACACAAGGTACGCGGGTTCAAACCCGGCGGAGGTCGTGGAATTTTTAAGGGCGGAAAAATTCAGGGAACAAATCCTCCGGAAGGGATTTTAAGCCGTGTGTCCCGTGTCGTAGATTTACGGCATGTAAAAGAACCTCATGTCTATAGGGAGCCACGACACATCAAAATTCCATAGAAAACCACCCCAGTCAGCTCATGGAACAACTCCTGGAACCAGTAAGCAACAAAAGACTAAAAAAAACTGTGGCCAAGTGAACTACTCTTAAGTTAATGTATAGATACTAATTATAGATTATACAGGTGATTTCGCTGGATATCAACCTGTTCATGCCACTAGTCATTAGTATATCTAATGAGTAATCAGCACTTTAGCTTATAGAATTAAGTAATATTCTGATTGCTAAAATTTAAAATAATAAAAAAAAAATGTCTCTAGGAGACCTCTGAGCTAAATTAGGCAACAATTTCCCGCCAAAGTAGTTTCCAATGCCTCTGGTAGATGGGGGAATTATCAAGGTACCGAGGGCCGACCTCGCTGGCTCAACGGGGCTGATAGCACGCACCAGTACCGGTAAGGTATGGAAACTGGTAGAATATCAAAGGGGGACGTACAATAGATCAACAAATGGTCGCGGTGCATGGGGAAACCCGCCCCTTCCAATAATAATAATAATAATAATAATAATAACTGTCATACACGTGTACGGTTTATGTCAATGGAAAGGCAAATCCTGTAAGTTTTTTTTCATGCCCGGCTTACGCGCATGCGCCGCCACATTTCTGCCACCATGTTAGGAATCACTTGGACAGACTGATGGCTGGGAGATCGGCACGAGTGAATCAATCGCTTGGCTTCCTAGGTCGCCAGATTTAATCCCACTGTTTTTTTCTTCCGGGGTTATGTGAAGAACGTTGTCTACCAGGTTAAGCTCAACGACCTGCAACACCTGAAAGCCCTCATAAGGGACGATGT